CCTACCCTTACCCTAATTTTACAAGCTATTATTTATTTTGCTCATCTCGCAGAACAACGAGAACGGCAATTATTTTATGTAGCTATATAGATAATTAGATACCATTCGGAAAAAATTTCTCTTGCAGTAATTTCTACGTGGTATATGCTCCTCCATTATTTGGTTTCATAGGGATCCGGATACCTTCTTCATTGAAGTAGTAAAGAAAATTCGCTTAAGTGCTTTTTTCGGTTAAGCGCACAAGTTTTTCGTGCAAAGAAGGATGGGCAGCTAAGCAAAATATACTGTACCACGCCTACCTCCCATATAACGGTAATTTTCAGAAATACGAAAACTGCGATATTTTAGTAACTACTGAAGTTAATTCACTCGAAATTGATATTTACAATAATTTTAAGACGAAAAATAAGAATATTATAAATCTTTGGAAAATGGGCGTAGCCACGCCCACTTATGGTTATGGTAACCGCTACACCAATTTCTTCCAAACTTGGCACAGTTATTGGCCTTGGTACAGTATGCAAACTGGCCAAAAATTTTCAAAATCGGACAATAACCGCGTCCACATCCCATATAAAGGTAATTTAGAGAAATCTTCGATAAATCAGGGGTGGCTTTCTGTAATTCGATATCGAGCAAAAACGTGTATCGAAGTATCGTTTTTGCTTTCCCTAACGATAAATGTCGTCGTGCTGTATCGACCATTCGATAGAAACTGTTCGACACCACTTTTGCTCTCGTTTTGCCTTTCGCAGCTGTCAACCTCAACCAAAATGTAAGTTAAAATTTTTAATTTTTCTGTGATTTTAAACGTTTTTTATTTATTTGGGAGTCAACAAACGAACGCTGCTCAACTTAAGCTTATGATAGAATTTATGGAGCAGCACGACGCTTTAGCCAAAAATAGTTTGCAATGTGTTAGCAATGGGCGCGAGAAGAAAAAGAAGTTATGGAGCAAATTAACGGAAATGTTAAATAGCAACGGGCCTCCGATGAAATCAACGAAGGGATGGCAGAAAGTAAATAGAAATACTTAGCAAATGATTTTAGTTGTAACATTAAATTCATGCAATATTTCTAGGTATGGACTGACTACAAATATATTGCAAAGCGCAAGTTAAGCGCCCGAATGAATAGTTTAAAAAAACGGGTGGTGGGCCATATGATGCCGTTAAATTAAGTAATTTGGAGGAACGTGTAATTGCTGCAGCAGATATAAACGCACAAGTAATGGGCATTCCGGGCGTGGCGTCATATGGTACCAAAACAGACGAGCCTTGCTCTTCTACTGCTGCCCCGGAACCGGACGAAGCTTTCGTTAGTGACTCTTTAAGAGAAATGTTAAGCGAATCCTCGAGTAATAATGAAAATGAAGGGGCAGGTGAGACTAATACACCAAGAGGAAAAAGAAGGGCCGACACGGCAAGCGACAGCGAGGCACCACCATCACCTAAAGCACCACAAACGTCTAAACTAAAACAAACGCCTATAGTACCACAAACGCCTAAAAAGAGATGTGTAGATCCAAAGATAAGAATCATAGAACCAGAAATAGAAAACCAAGACAAATTTCAAACTGAAATATTAAAGCTTTTAAAGGAGAAAAATGAAATTGAAGAAAATAAGCTGCATTTAATGGAAAAGCAAGTTGCATCTGAAATTCAGTACAAAAAAATGAAATTGCAAGTATTACAATTAAATTTAGAGAAAGTTACGTGTGAAATCGAAGCGCTAAAACGAGAAACAAATGATAACTTATAACTTATGTAAAGTACAATGAAATGCAATGCTTTTAAAAGAGAACAATAAGATTGAGTTGAAAAATAAAATTTCAAGCACTACAATTAAATTTAGAGATAGTTAAGTAAAAATCGCTTTGCTGAAACGCGAAACAAGTGATAAATGAATTTATAACTTATGTGAAGTACAATGTTTATGTTTTATGTTATTTATTTATTAACAATCAATACAAATATAATTTTTACATTGCGGTTTGGGAAAAATGTTCTTTTATTCGATTTTTTATTCTTTCAGCTTCTCGGTTAACTATTTCTGGTGGAGTGGTATCTACCCCTCTTTCTTGTCGTGAAGTTGCAGCTTCGTTATTGCTTTCAAACTGAACATTGCGGCTGATGCACACATTATGCAGAGCTGCACACACGTTTGCAATTTTGGCAACCAATGTTGGGTTATACCTTGGCTTTCTGTCGTCAGATAATATCCTCCAGCGCCCTGAAGTAGATGATGTGAATAAAACTAATATAAAAAGCACTGAATTTTGCAATATGCTAACCTTTATAAACCCCAAGCTTCTTTCAACAACACTCCTTGCTTTGCTATGTATATCATTGTAGATACATTTACTTGCGTCAGTTTCATTTTCTCGTAGTCGGTATGGGGTCATTAGCCAAGGTTCAAGAGGGTATCCAGAATCGCCTTAAGATATATTTTCGAGCTAATATATGTTTTTTTCTATTGAATATATTTTAAATGTTCACCGACTTTACCTAATAGCCAAGAATTTATATCTCCGCTGTTGTATCGTCGCTCCATTACCATTCTCTCATTGGAGGCCTTCCACACAAACGAGTCGTGTGCAGCCCCCCCCCCAAATTTTGGGCATATAGCTCTTATAATTAATTTATGGTCGCAGATCTACATTAAAGATTGTCCAATACGATAATTCATAAACAATTTCAAGGAAATTTCATACATAAAGTATATATATACTTACTAGCATTGCATTAATGCTATGTTTGCCTTAAAATATATGTGTTCGTTTTCCACAGGTTTTAGCAACTGCAAATGCGTACCATCGACGGCACCGACAACTGCAGTGGATTACAATTAGAAAGATTAGAAAGCTAGTTATTGATTCGACGAATTTACCCCCAGGAAAATTGTATTTTTGATTGAACCACTCCATACACGGCTGGAAGTCTTTTTCATAAACTATCCATTGGCTACATAAATGGTCTTCCATGGATGACAACGTGTCGCGAAAGATCTTCGACAGAGTGCTTGGTCCCATGGGTGCTGTGTGTGCGCCTCCCGTTTGCCACTGGTACCCGCCACCCGCTAAAATTTCCAGTGTTGCTGCTAGTCTCATGATTGGAGGAATATATGTAGTCCTCATGCCTTTCCTTAATTTTATTTCGTTGAGAACGTACTTAAATACTTCTTTGGTCAGCCGATATTTTGTTTGGAAGCTTAGAAATGGAAATAAATTGAAAAGAAATTGAATGCTCCTTAGTTTTTACAATATTAATTAAACTTACCACTTTTCAGGCAATTCCATGGGATTAGATGCATCTCGGATCCCTCTTCTATTAATTAAAGAGTTTTCCTCTCCAAAACCGTCCAAAATCAAAAAATAACGCCAATTGTACATTGTTTTCATTCAAATTACATACAAATTCCTACAATATGAAAACGAGAGTGGTCATATCGAAACACGGAAACCAAAATGGTCTCGCCAAGCATTCGATATCGAATTGAAGTATCGAGCCGACGAGTGTCGACTATCGAATTACGGAAACCCGCCCCTGATTTTTTCGATCTGGCATCTGTACGCTGCAGTAGAACCTCACGACATTTTTGCCTAGTTCGTTAGCTTTGCTGTGCAGTGTCGTGCCGTGAATTCCGCACTTGAACCCTTTTGATATTTTTGCTGGGTTTACGTTAATACTTTTCATCCAAATAACATAAAATAATAAATTATGTATCAATCGTCAATGAAAGAAACGCAACTGGTAAATAGGTACTCTGTAAAAAACTAGTATTTTTTGATAATTTTTGGTGGGGTTGGTAACACTAACTTTTCATATCAGTTTTACTAAACACTCAATGGAGGAAAAGTATATCTAAACAAAATAATTTTCATTTAAATAAATATTTAACATGAAGGCGAATTATTTGAAGCAAGTTAAAATAAACATTGTCAGAATATCTCTTCGTAGTATATACTATATTCACTTGTCTTTGCTACCATATGATCAGTGAAACAAAACAAACAGAACGGATCATAAATTGAACCAGATCTCTATCAGAATCACAGCGTTGTTGTTGCTTTTGAGTACAAAATCTGTATCCGGAACGTAAAGAAGCAATATTACCACTTTTTTCATTAAGCCTTGTTCGAATTGTGGTATTTTTCGAAGACTACAAAGCTGCTGTTAGCAGTTAGATGCTTAATGCTGAAAAGAGGTAGCATTTAATTGCATTTAATTGCATTCAGATAGATTTAGAGTTGCATTTAGAGCTAAATGTGCTAGTTGCAGCTTTCTCGTTCCACATAAACGCCCTATAATACTGTCACATAATTGTAAATGAATTTCTACACATACATAAGCATATGTATAAATAAGTATTTCCTCGTGCTTTCCAATAGACTTTTAGGTTCTTTCCAATAGACTTTTAAGTTTTGTGGAAACATGCATTTTCATAATATTCGACTGTAAAAAATGATGAGTGAGATATTTTAAATCCGAAAATATTTCAATTTCCCTGAATATCGTGAAATATCATTGCCAGAATATAATATAATGAATTGATGCATTTGAAAATTTTAATTCATGGGAAAAGTGTGTAAAATTTCAGTTGAGTGTGAAATTTTAGCTGTGTGATAAACTCGAAGTATCATGTTGTTTGGGTAGGCCTTCATCTAGAAGCGTTAAATTTTGAAAGACGCGCGCCTCAGTGGGTAAATACAGTGCGCGTAGTTTACTTATACGGTTGACAAACGGGCTCGATTATTTGCATAAACAGCCTTTATTTGCTTTCACTCATGCATTTTCCTCTTTAAAATGCGCATAAGCAGCCGAACAAATGCACGAAATTTTTGGGAATTAACTCGGATCCGGGGAATTTTCGATGACAACATTGGTAAAAACGGCCAGTTGTTGTCTTTTGTACAAGTAAGCAAACGAAGCAGTCGAGTTCGCGTGCGCCCTAGCCGAGTGGTGAGAGTTGCGAGCTACAGGTCTGTAGCTGCTAGGTTCGATACTCGGTTGGAGCGATTCGAAACGTTTTTTGTTTTTATTATTTATTTTATATTTTTTTATTTTATTTTATCTATATATTTAATTTTACTTTATTTTATTTTCATTTGATTTATTTTATATCACATTTCTTAGTTTACTATTAGTTAATTTTAATTTTTAGAAATGAATTTTGTTAATAATTCAACAACAACTAACTGAAAGTATCGTAAAAAAAATATAGAACTTATAAAAAAAAAGAATGAAAAAGAAATAAAAAAAGTATGCTTATTAATTCAAATTAATTTTCTCCGTCTGTCTACCATATTACGGGCTACAAGCGATTGCGAAAATTTTTTTGTTTTATTATTTATTATTTATTTTATATATTTTTTATTTTATTTTATCTATATATTTAATTTTACTTTATTTTGTTTTCATTTGCTTTATTTTATATCACATTTTTTATATTACTATCAGTTATTTAAAATTTTTAGAGTTGAATTTTAATAGAAAGTCAACAACAACTAACTGAAAGCAACGTAAAAAAATATAGAACTTATGAAAAAACAAGAATGAAAACGAAATAAATGAAAATTCAATTGGCCGTGGGACTCGAACCCACCCTGCAAAAATCGTTGGACCATGTAGTCTATTTGTGGTATATTGGAGTACTTACAAAAGTGTTCCTCTGTCATGCTGTAGCGGACCAACTCGTGTCTCTGCGCCAGCTTATTGTTTGTTATCTGATCACTGCTCGTATTTTAACGAAATGTGATTGAAGTTGAGCATTTGAAAGCACATTTGCATGTCGCTGTTAGTTCTTCGCTCCCAGCATGTTCGGGTTCGAATGCCGTCAGAGGCAACATGTAAT